TTTTTTTTTTAAATTTTGGATGTGCTCAACATTTCCATTTGATTTTTTAAATTGTGGTAAAATAGACATAAAAAATTAACCATCTTAACCATTTTTAACTGTACAGTTCAGTTACACTACTGAATTAAGTACATTCACATTGTTGTGCAATGAATCTTCAGGACTCTTTTCATCTTGCAAAACCAAAACTCTATACTTATTAAATAACAACTTCCCTTTTCCCCTTCCCCTGGTAACTGCCATTCTACTTTCTGTTCCTATGAATCTGACTACTCCAGGTACCTCATAAAAGTGAAATTATACAGCACTTGTCTTTTTGTGATTGGTTAAAATCACTTAGCATAATTTCTTCAAGGTTCATCCTTGTGGTAGCATATGTCAGAATTTCCTTCCTTTTAAAGCAGAGTAATAGTTCATTGTATGTATATAATGCATTTTGTTTACCTATTCATCCATTGATGGACACGAGTTGTTTCCACCTTTTGGTTATTATGAATAATGCTGCTGTGAACTTTGGGTGTACAAATATCTGTTCTGAGTTCCTGCTTTCAATTATTTCGGGTATAAACCCAGATATAGAATCACTGGATCATATGATAATTCAATACCGAATTTTTTTTTTTTTTTTTTTGAGGAACTGCCATACTATTTTTCACAGCAGCTGCACCACTTTATTTTATTGATTGATTTTAGAAAGAGGAGAAAGAAACATCAATGTAAGAAACACTGATCACCTGCCTCCCACATGAACCTGGGGTTGGGGGAGAGGGAGGAGCAATAGATCCAGACACCTGGGTATGTGCACTGACTCAGAATCGAACCTGCCACCTTTTGGTGTACTGGATGATATTCCAACCAACCAACCAACCAATTGGGCCACCTGGCCAGGGCAAGCTGCACCATTTTAGATCCCCATCAACAATATACAAGGGTTCTCATTTCTCCACATCCTCACCAACACTTCTTTTTATAGTAGCCAATCTAATGCGTGTGAAGTGGTATCACATTGTCCATTTGATTTTTTTAATAAGGAATTTTCCCCAAGTTTTTAAAGATAAATTTAAGTCCAGTTTTTCTTCAAATTTTCTTAATTCTGAATTAGAGGAAGTAAATTAAGTTTCAGTAAGCTGATTTTCTTCTTCAGTTCATCTCTACCTAGATGTTTATCAGTCTAAAACAGGGACAAACTTGTTAAATGGCTCCAAATATATGTAAAAATGCACCAATAATTGGTAAGACTGAGATTTAAGACTTAAGATTCCATTTCTCACATTTACTAATAGCTATTCCCCAAATACTTTTCCAAGCACTTTCCTTCCTATTTATTCAGCATTCCTTTAGTGTCAGGCATTGTGGGTACTAGGGATATAAAGATGAATAAAAAGACACTGTCCCCATTACAACATTATGAAATAAGTATAATTATTCTCAACTTACATTTGAGGGACCTGAGGTTCCATAGGTTTAATATATTAGCTAAGATCAGACAAAGGTTGGGGAAACTAGAATTTAAATTCAGATTTTACTCCAAAGTTCACCTTTTCTACTATTCCATACTATATTCCCTTTTTAGCACTATTCACCTAAAATTTCTGTTTTTAACTTTAGATTTCCAAATGTTACGTTTTGACTACAGAGAAACAATAATAATAAACTTGTAAACCTGCTTCCATCTAGGAGTTAATAACTGTATTGGAGGCACTTTACCAAGCAACAAGCATACAAAGTAACAGAGAATATTTTAGTACAAACAAAAATAGTAAATCCTAGAGAGCTTTGAGTATTTGAGGCTTACTAAAAAGAAAAAACTGACATACCTTCCCAATTAAATTATACTATGTTAAAGCACAAAAATGCTATAAGATTAACAACTTCAAAGTACACAATCTTATAGAAAAAAATTATAAATAGAATATAACAGCCCCTGTCACAGTTAACTTTTTTTAACCAATACAGGGGTGGGCAAAAGTAGGTTTACAGTAATTCATATGGAAAAAGACATGCAGGTTATGATCACAATAGCTTTATTAATTCAAAAGAATGTCACAATTGTTTTTGTCATGTCTCTATCCCTCTCTTCCTCTCTCTCTAAAACCAACAAAGAAAAAATATTAAAATGTAAATATATATATATATATTTTTTTCTTTATTGATTTTTAGAGAGAGAACCATCAATGAGAGAGAACATCAACTGGCCACCTCCTGCATGCCCCCCACTGGGGATCAAGCCCACAACCCAGGCACGTGCCCTGATCACGAATCCAACCAGTGAGCTCTTGGTGCATGGGTCAATGCTCAATCACTGAGCCATACTGGCCGGGCTATAATTATACATATATAATTAATTCAAATGATCTAAATTCAACAAATATTGAGTTCCTACCATGTGCTGGGCCCTCTGCAAAACACTCAGAGTAACAGATCAGAAAATAGTCCCTACCCTCTGGAGCTTATAGGGTCATGTGTATATCCTCCAAAATTAACCTTTTTTGTGTGTGAGTCCAATGCTCATCAAGCAACTTTTGAAATACAAACTCACCCTTACAAAAACTTTATATTACATTGCAGAGATCAGCTTTCTGGTCAATGTATCGACATACCTTATTTACATTAAGTCATTGCTCAGGTTTACACATCCCTGTTCATGAGTTTAGTTAGCTTGAGTGAATCTCCAAAACCTGAGTAATTCTGATTAATTGGCTAGATGTAATTTCTAAACCTTCGGAACTGAAAATCAAATATAGGCGTGGAATGTCTACAAAAAGATAATATCACCAAATGAGTCCTTAGTTTATTCTGACAACATACCTTTATTTCACCATGCTCTTCAAATTGCAATTATAATTTCATAAAAGTGTTAAGAATAATGAAATATATCATATAACAATGCTTCTCAAACTCTAATGTGCATATGAATCACTTGCGGATGTGTTAAAATGCAGACTGATTCAGCAGATGAGGGCTGTTAAATAACTGAGATTCATTTCTGATAAGCTCCCAGTGATGCCCAGGCTGCAATCCACAAACCAGGAGGGGATATAACACACCTGGCACAGCATCTGGCACACAGGCTGCTCTACCCAGTTAACTGTTCCTTCCCATTTGTGATGTCTTATTCCCCTCAGTGATCTTACCTTTCTTGGGAGACAGGTTATGTTTTTTTCACCTTTGTATCCTCCAAAGTTCCATGATAGGTATTATATCTGTACCAACTGAATGAATCACATCCTGTTTTTTCAATCAATTTTTATTTTTCAATTACAGTTGACATACATATTTTCATTTCAGCTGTACACCGATTAGACATTACATAAGTAATCATCCTAATAAATCTCGCACCCATCTCACATCCAGCTTTTTAAATCATTACCTCTTATATAGACAGAATTGTTTTGTCCTGACTTAATTTACTTTAAACAGAAAAGTATTTTTGAAAACTAAAAATTCAGTAAAGCTCTCAATGTATATTTTTTAAAGTAAAGAAAAAAACTGTATGTGTAGCTTAATCCTGTGTATTTTCTCATGTTGGCCTAATCAAATCTTTCTTTAAAAATCCACATTTAACTTGTTAATTTATCTCCTAATGATTTTTCTGTTTTTGTAAGAATTTAAAATCTGTAGTTTTCTAGGGATGTTTAAAATTAATCTTTAAAAATATAATAATTTTATTAGGATGTACCTTATACTTTAAAGCAGCACAATAAAACTAGGGAAGGTAACATCTATAAAATAATTCTGACTTTTCAGACTAACGGTGCCATTGTTAAAAAACACAAATAGTCTGCTGTCAATCGCGAAATCTTGGGCACAATTTCACTTGTCCTCCGCTGATTTCTCTGTGATCACCATAACAAATGACTATCTCGGAACTGGTGTCTTCACTTGTCAATATTAGTTGTTAACCTGATACACGTGGTTCCAGGCTGCGAAAAATGGTGTGTTGGTGTGGTGTTCTGAGCACGAGAAAGGAAAACAAAAGTGGACTACTTTCCTTTCCAAACTGTGTCTCTCTACCGTTTATGGCTCTTTTTAATGTGGCTCTGCGAGGAGTCTGCCCGTTACTACACATAAACAGTCATTATATTTTTGAGTAACAGGATGGTAACCAAGCATCGGGTTTTCCGTCATAATGCTGAACGAAAACAACCTCAAGGTCTTGCAAATAAACGTGGATCATCGCTTCTCCCTCCGCACACGAAACACACCGACCCTGCGGGGTCCCAGGGGCCTGGCAGCCGGTCCCCGCCGGCGGCCACGCCGCGCCCTCGCGGGGCGGGGGGCCGGGGGGCCGGGGGCCGGGGCCGGGCCGGGGGCCGGCTGAGCCGCGGAGGCCCAGGGCGCCCGGGGCTGGTGCGCGTGCCCGCCGCGGCCCGCTCTCTCGCCTCCATCACGATCGTGTTTCCTTTCTGCGTTCTAAGACAAACCACCAGACGGGTGGCGCAGGTCGGGCCGCCGGGCACCACCGTGACCTCGGGGCTGCCCTCCCGGCCCCGTCCAAGAGGCAAAATGGTGGCCGCGGAAGCCGCAGCCGGGGCGGAGCGCGGTGGCGCGCGGCCGGGGAGGACCCGCCAGCTGCTGGCGGCCAGCCGTCCTCACTCCTGCCGGCCGGGGCCCACAGCCGGGGCAGCGGCCCGAGGGGCACCTGCGGCCCCGAGAGCCCGGGCGAGGGTCTGGCGGCGGGTCCCCGCGGCCGTGCACAAAAACGCCATTACGGGCCGCGCCGGCGCCTGGGCCGCAAACCGCGCTGCTCCCCCGGCTGGGCCCCGAGGGAGGCCGGAGAAAGCGGGGAAGGGGAGGGCGGCACCGGCGGGGCGGGGCCGAGCGGGCGGGGGCCGGGGCGGGGCCGAGGCGTCGGCCGCGACAGCAGTGGCCGCGGCGGAGGGCGGCGTCCCCTTCCGCAGCCACCCGCTCCCAGCGGTGGGAGCTCCAGATCGGGGGGTGACCTGCCTCCCCCCCCGGCGCGGCCGGGGTCGCGGCGGGCGGCGAGGGCTGCCTCTTACCTGAGCTTTCCTTGTCTTTCTCGTCCGCCATCTTGTGCGGAGCCCGTCGCCCGGGAGACGCCCGTGGCTAACCTAGGACGCGGCGTCCTCCCCCCCACCCCCACCCCCCACCCCCCACCCCGCGGCGAGACGGCCCTGGCGGCCCGGGACTCGGAATCCCGAGGGCTGAGGACCCCAGGGCGCGGTGGGGCGGGGGGCAGATTCCGAGCGTGCGCCCTTCCCCCTTCCCGCCGCGACCCTCTCGCTCCCGCGAGACTAGAAGCGCGGCCCCGCCGCCCCCGACCCTCGGCCGCAGCCCTTTCCCTCCGGCGCCGCGCCTGAGCCCCGTGTCTTCGGTGAAGTTACTGAATAAAGCCCCGCGCCTCCTTTCCCCGAGTCCCGATCCCTTTGGGGACATCAGACCCAGCTCTCCCACCCCCTCCTGCTTGGACGACGTGGCGTTGCTCGATTTTTTTTTTTTTTTTTTAACTGCAGATTTGAGAACGCAGCTGGAGAGCTGGGTGCAGCGCTCGGCTTCCGAGGGGGTGACCGGCTCCCCCGCAACCCCGCCGCCTCCCCTGGGCGTCCGCGGCCGGCTGGGCGGAGAGGCCGACCCGCCCGCTCCTGCCCTCGCCCTGCGCTCCCGTCCCGGGCTCGCCGCCCGCTCCCAGGGACGGCGACGCGCAGCCCGGAGCAGCTGCCGCTGAACGGAAACGGGCGGGTGCGGGAGGAACCGGAGCCATTGCACTGCTATTACTAGGGGAGAGGAGTCGCTGGAGGAAAACAAGTGTGGAAAAGGCGCAAGCTTTGCGCCGTCGGGGCTGCGATTTCTGATACCAAATAGAAGGTTCTCATAGCAACAGAAACGTGTCCAAGTTGTGATTATCGTCAAGTACAGGACGATGTGCTTGGTTGTGAAATTGGACCTGACCTCCAGTTACTACGGAAAGTTTTAGATCCTGCTTTTCTGAGGCTTTGCAGCTGGAACATGGTGTTAAATTTTGGTTTCGTTTTAAGGATACATTCACTATACAAGAATGTTTTCTTTTTAAAGTGACTTTAATATATGCCTAATGAGTCAAACGAATACATATTTTTAAAACGAATCTTAAATGATCTTAAGTGCATGTATACTGATTTAAATGGCTTGATGTTCTGTGGAAACAGTTTATGAACAACTAAATTGTAAGAGGCTTTCCAAATTCAAGGTATTAGTATTCAATGATTTTAAGTTTTTATGCCCCTTTTATTAATTCTGCTTCTATAATCTCCCAGAAAACCCTAAAGCAAACTATTACTCTTCTTTATTTAAAAAAAATACGTACTTTTTATATAGAAGATATTCGTGATCAGCATTCTCTTTGAAACTATAAATGATGGAATCATCATAAAATGGCTCATATTAGAAGATAGATACTTACATAAAGTAAATATAATTGTGTACAGCAAATTCATAACAAAATATGAGAAAGTAATCAGTATTTATTTATATTTAAATTTCATTCTCATTCTGGTCTATTTATTTGTTTTTAAAGAGTCCCTCTTGCCATACAGATAATGAAGGGCTTTGAAATAAATGTAGGAAACCTCAACCTCGGTCTCACGTTTACTCCCTACTCTCTGTGCCTTTTCATACGCTGTTTGCAGTTCCCTTCCGGAGTGCCTTTCCCTTCTCCCCCCTCTCCAACGTTCACCATCCCACAGACACACATTTTGTTCCCTCCTGGTTGTCAGTGACCTCCTTGAAGGTCAGGTACTGTTTGAAACTTTCTCTGTCAACAACCTCTTCCTCTGCTGTACTGTCTTCATATCATAGAGCCTCTCACATAGATTTGCAATGACTTTGTTTTGTTTAAAAAAGCAAAATGCAACGGAGTACATTTGACGATCTAATTAGTCTTATTAAGCAATTCATGAATGGAGCACCATCCCATCTAGCAACTAGAAGGAAACACTGATGAGTTGTATAAAATGGAACACTTCATAGACTGAAAGAAGGTGAGACTAACAAATTAAAACTGGATTATTTCAGGCAATGACACTGAAGGCAAGGGGTCTTTTCATGCATATTATCTGACCTGGGTTGGTTAGGAAATTCCAGACTGATTGGTTTAAAATAGCACTCCTGGCTCTGGCCGGTTTGGCTCAGCGGTTGGAGCCTCCGCCCCCAAACCAGAGAAGCCAGGGCACCTACCACGGTTGTGTCCCGGCCCCAGTTGGAATTGTGTGGGTGGAGGCGACATAATGTGTCTCTCTCACATCGATGTTTTTCTCTCTCCCTCTCTATCTCCCTCCTGCTCTATCTCAAGATAAATGCAAAAATGTCCTCGAGTGAGGATTTTTTTAAAAAAGCACTCCTGGAAAAGACAGAAACTGCTATTAGGTTAGTTTATTAAGTTTTGGTTTGATGACATGCTTAGCAAAAATGACTCCATTTGGCCTGTTTCTTTTTTTTTAACATTTTATTTACTTGTTTCCTTCTAAACGCTAAGCTCTTGAAGACATAAAGTGTTTTATTTGCCCATATGCTCCTAATACCTAGAACAGTTTTCCAGCTTTTGTGTCTGAAATAATATATATTTTTAAAATCAAGACAGGAATTAGTCTTCTCAAAGACTTGAGAAGCAGAGCTTTTTATTATTTAGATTTTCCAAATCACATGAATCTCTACTTCTCTTAAATTCCTACAAGCATATTTTAGACAATACTGTTTCTTGCCTGGCCAGTGTGGTTCATTCACCAAGTGGTTGAGTGTTAACCCATGCACCAAGAGGTTGCCAGTTTGATTCCCAGTCAGGGCACATGCCTGGGTACCTGGGTTTCTGGGTTTCGGTCTTGATCCCCAGTAGGGGGCATGCAGGAGGCAGCCGATTGATGTTCTCTCATGGATGTTTCTACCTGTCTCTCCCACTCCCTTCCTCTCTCTAAAAATCAATAAAAAACATATTTTAAAAAACACAATACTGCTTCTCTAAGTTTGAATGACAAGGAAAAAATGTAATGTGTTCATTGACACCTCCCCCAATTAGGTATGAAGATAAAAGCCTAATCTTATCAGAATACAACAGAATAACGGTATGGTTTCATTACAGTTAAAATAATAAAAATAATTCTTCTAAGCACTTTGTATACATTATCTCTTTCAATCCTCATGAGGCTGATACTAGTATCCCAGTTCTAATGCTACATTGCTTCTTTATAAATAGAAGATATCATTGTTCTATTCTACTTAGTAACCTGAATATTTCCAGACACATGCCTAGCACAAAAATTCTGGGGAAAAATGAGTCATCTTCCTCCCTAATTTTTTTTTTTAACCTCTTCAAAGCATCAACCAAAACAACTGGCAGGGACTCTGAGGGACTTTAGGAGAACCAGATAATGGCATGCACGTTGTCCTTGTCTGGCCAAATAGTTGAACTGCAGGCCTGGCTTTTGCATGGCCAGAGAGGAGGCGAAACTTGCTCATCTGCTCACCCTCTTCTCTTGCCTGCCCACCTTCCTGCAGGTTGAGGTTTCCATCCTCTCATGAAGGAGAACTGCGTTGTTATTGGCCCGGGACAAGAGTATTCAGTGGAGAGCTCCTTTGGGCTTTATAGGGGACTCAGAGCGAGAAGCTGGGATTGCTACTCTGTGGGAAGCTTAGAAGTAAATCTTATGTGAAACCACAACTCTTGAAAACATTTGAAAAAAATCACACTCCTGGCCCTCTCTCTCTAAAAAGCACATGTTTCTTTCTGTTTCCCTTAAAAAAAATCACCACAGCAAGTCACTGTTTAATTCATTACTTAAACACTTCCTGTCCCGATGAGCATTTTTCAGGGACGTTTGTTGCTAAGCAAATTTGGTGAGTCTCTGTTCTTTACTCACTGAAAATAAGACCTGGAAGGTGAAGGGCAGGAGCTGACCTAGAGACTGAGTAAATGTTTACGATTGCTCACATAACCTCTTCCTCCTTAAGTGGGAAAATAAAGGGAAAGTGTGGAATTACGCTGGTAATTGGCTTTGGAATGATTTTCTAGTTCCAGCTCCAAAATAAAATCTTTGAAATGAAGTTTCATTTATGTTAAAATTTACAGTAGGAGCTAACACTGTATAGAAGAATCAAGCAAATAGTCTTAGTAGGTAAACAGACTCAGGATTAAACCTTAGTCCAATGCTCATTAGGTATGTGACTTTGGACATGTTATTTCTTCTCTGTAACCTCAGTTTCCCCATCTGAGATTACATAGTTCTCCCTTGACTTCTGGCCTGATTTAATTTCCTTGGACTGTGACTGTGTGACTCTCTAATGGCTCTAAAACCAGTAATGACACTATTTGGGGCATTTACTATGTTCTAGGAACTATGCCAAGCATTCTGCATGGATTCTTACTTAATCATCACAATAACCCTATCAGCAGAATACTAATATGATCCCCATATCAAAGATGAAGAAACCAAGAGTTAACATCCCCATATTGTTTTCTGATAGTAAAAGTGGCTTTTTTCCTGCTGAGCCCCAAAGCCTCTCCTGCCTCAGAATCTTACTCGGGATTTTTCATTTCTTCCCCATATCAAGCCCCAGGGTCTCAACCTGTCTCCAGTCTCCGGAAGGGGGCATTATCCATCCAGTGGGGTGAGGAGGAGGACTGTGAAGAGGGCTGGGGCATCCCAATGTCTAGCTCCACTTTCTTTGCTACACTTGAATACAACCACATGGGCATTTTTAATTGAATTTATTGGGGTGACATTGGTTAACAACCTTATAGAGCATTTTTTAAATGTTCAGGGTTTCACTGCTGACCTAAAGAGATAGGATAATAAAAAATAGAGATGTTATAAACATCCTGGGATCTTAGGAAATATTTGCAGATGTGGTTCCTGATTCTTGACTCTCTCTGAGATGGTGAGAGGGTGTTTCCGGTACATGTGGCTCCTCCTTCACCCTGCCATTCTTGCTAGTACATCATTAATTTTCCTTCCCAGAGTTTACACAAATTAATGATAGCCCTTGTGGCTCTTACAGGACACAAGAAAAATAGCCTAGGGGATAAATAAATAGAGATAGATAAACTACATATGGATTTTTTAATTGCCGTCTATAATTACCAAACAGATA